GCAAGTTTCTGTTAAAATTATTAGGAAAGTAAGAAAAAAAGGCAAAACAACAATTCTGAAAAAATACCTACAGATATTCATGCATTATTCTGCCTAACTGAAGTATCACTTAACACAACCCTGGCTTGCTATGAACAAGGATCCTATCTCGGTATCTTACCTAGCCCACCTTTTAAGCCATTGTTCTCTGTGGATGCCATAAAAGCAGGAGGAGAGGGAAATCAGCAGGAGAACCTCCCCCCTCCTTCCCGCTCTCCCCACACAGAAGACAAGGTCAGAGAGATTTCCTTGAGCCTGACGTACTTACCCCGATATCAAACACAGAGCTAACTGGCTTATGATCACTGATCTTCAAAGCCATGTGGCTGCGATAGCTCAGCTGAGCAATGTTCTGCCCTTTCCAGAGTATCCGATCACACCACGCTGGAACACGACACTTCTCACTATAACAGAGGTAAAAATTACAGTTTCCAGGCACAGTTCAGGTGGAGTAACAATGCAAGGCAGAATACTGCTCTCCCAGAGACTCCGTTTTCCTGACACGGCCGGGAGCTAGTTCTCCATCAAAGTTGTATTTTCCACAGTTTCTTTCAGTAGTTATAAAAAGTTCAATTGTCTGCTCTTGTGGTTTAACCCGGCAGGCCACTGAACACCACCCAGCCGCTTGCTCACTGCCCCCCTCCCCAGTGGGATGGGGGAGAGAATTGGGGGAAAAAAAGGTAAAACCCATGGGTTAAAATAAAGAGTTTAATAAAACAGCAGAGGAAAATAATAATAATAGACAAAACAAGTGATGCACAACAGAAGTGCTCACCACCCACTGACCCAGTCCACCCATCCACAAGCAGCGATCACTGCCCCCCAGTTTCTATACTGGGCATGGTGCCCTATGGTCTGGAATAGCCCTGGGGCCAGTTGGGGTCGGCTGTCCCGGCTGGGCCCCCTCCCCGCTCCCTGTGCCCCTGGGCAGAGCAGGGGAAGCTGAGAAGTCCTTGCCTGGTGTAAGCCCTGCTCAGCACCAACTGAGCCATCAGGGAGTTATCAACGTTGTTCTCATGAGAAATCCAAACCACAGCACCGTGCCAGCCACTGGGAAGAAAATTTACTCTGTCCCAGCTGAAGCCATCTCTATATCATGCTTTACTTTCTACTTCTTCAAAGATGCAATTGCATTGTTCTTTTGATACGATTAACATACTCAGAGATACTTCTGACCCTAAGAACCATGAAAAATAAGAACTCAGGCTCTACATTTAATGTTCATGTTTTAATTTTTTTTTTCCCCACTGACCACTGCGCAGATTTTGTTCCCGCACTTGAAGCCAGTGTTCCCAGTTTACTAAGAACAGATCAGCCACTATGTGTAGTGCATTACAGGAACGATGGTTCTCTCAGTCTTTTGGAGAATGCGCTCAGCTACAGACAGCACAAACATGCCATTCTGAACCCCAGCTAGTCTGACCTGAGCAGGCACAGCAGACAGCAGCAAATAAAAGATCCTAAGAATTTTGCTTGGGGAAAAAACCCAAACCAAACCAGAAGTAGGAAAGTAACTAAACAGATTCCTTAATTTTGTACACCTCTTAACTAAGAGGAAACCCAATTAATTATTACTGGGAAAAAGATTGGGAATATCTGACAAATAACAGTGGAAGAAAAGCAACATATGGAAACTGGATGTAAACTGGAGATGGATTTTGGAGCCAAGGGAGAGAAACAGCAACAATCTCAGACCTGTTCCTATCTATAGCCATTATAGCTGCAATTCTTTTCAGCTTTGTTTTTACTTCCTTCAGTGATAACATTAGCCATTGGTAGCACCACATCTGAGGCAATCACCGTACCTTGTGTCCCAGTCATCGCAGCCAGCATCATATTTGTATGTTGGCTGGAAAGAAATCTCTCCCTCTGTAAAGCCTTCAAAGACTGCATTAGCATTCATTTGCCTCTTCAGCTACAAAAGAAAAAAAAAGACAAAAAAAAAATTTAAAATAAGCTCAAGCACAATTCCTATTGAGCTACAAGGGAGGTGTTCAGCACTGAGAAGGCTAAGGAGTATGCGTGCCGTTTCCAGCCAGCACCCTCAGCACCACCTGCAGGTAGGCAAGACAAGAGTACCTGGTCATATTGGCAAAGCTCTAGAAATGCTTTCTCATCTATGAGCTGCTTCACTTTTGCCACATCCAGTTCCTCCAGACGATAGTTGAGGTCACCCAACCACAAGATCACACTGGAAGAGAACGTACACCAGAGGTCTGCACAGAGGCCTAAAGATGTCCAAAGTACAAGCTGGCTGTGAGTTGGAAGCACAGCTCCGCAGCAGTGCCTGAAACCATCTAATGCGAGCACGAGAGCTTCTAATCTCAACGTGATCAGGTGGACTCTGTGTCCACTTCTCCATCAGAGAGCAAAAGTGAGAGTGAAAACTTGAAAGAGAAGCTGCGTTTTCTACCTTTACTGTTTTTAGTTCCTGTTCTGCACGTTTGTCTCTACCTCTTAATAACTGGTGCTTTTAATATTCCACGCTGACTACCTCCCACAACCCATCGGGGAAAATCGATGCATATCATTGCCCCGTTCCCACTTCATGCTTGAAAATAAAACAAGGCATGGAAGAGGCAAGTGACTTGTCAGAACTGTATAGGTGACCACTCTCAAAACCACGGTTAGGGTAAAGTGCTTCTGGCCCTTCCAGGCTGACGGTTAGAGCACTGGGCACCCCTTCTCACATCTCTGCTGCGAGAACCTCACACCCTAGTACATTCCTAAGGTTCTTCCTTGCCACGTGCAGCGATTCACAGTCAGATGGGAAGCGTACTCATGTTTGCCAATAGTGAGAGGGGGCAAATTTGGATCCGACTGGCAGAATTGCATCCGAGAGCAGATGTCTTTGAAGTCCTGGTTCCTCCGCTCATATTCCTCCATGTGAGCTGCAAGGTGAGAATTCACAACGCACACACTAGTGTTATGGAATTTAAACCTTACGGCAACACCACCTTTGTTACCCTGAAAGATAAAGACAAAGACGCTGGTCAGAAGCTGCTACACAACAGATGAATGCACAATTGAGTTACTAGTGGTGGACAAGCCAGAAGACACTGAGGCAGACCATTTAATTCCAAAGGAAGGAAAAGGCTGAAAACGCCAATCAGTGATAACTACTTCAAGAACTCAAGCCAGTAACTCGTGCGAGGGTTGCACACAGCAACAGGACACAGCAGGCAAGCACATGGAACTCTGTTTGTAATTCAGGAATTAGCTAACACAAAAAGAAATTAAAATCAGTAAGAGAGCTGGTCAGTTACTTCATTGCATTAGGAAACACATTTAGCAACAAACTGGATCTTTCAACACAAACCATGAATTTGTAAGTGGAAGAGGAAGCATGTGGCTTAGTTGGTCAAAAATACTTTTGACAAGTTATAGCTGTAACGTTCACAGAAACTACATTCAAAGGGCATGGGCTCCACTACAGTGGTGTGGAATGGCAAGAGGCCAGGAAGTCCTTCTCAGGAAAACTAATCTGGATGGACGCGTTTCTTCCACTCACGTTTCCTTGTGTTATTTGCCAGCACCAAAATCACATGGGAGCAAGGCCCCACACAGCCCAGCACACACAATCAGAAAAAAAGGCCTTCAGAGAAGGTTCTCCCTCAAGGTCTTTGATCCTTTGCGAGTACATGGCAACTCCCCCTAGCAACGCCCTGAGCTGGCGCAGGGACAGGACTACATGCTTCTAAAGGCAGCTGCATCCCTTAGCTGGAGGAATAAGCACTACACCCAAGGAGAGGAGCTCTCCGGGGCTCTCCTAAATCTCACCCCTTCTCAAGCACAGTTGCCGTTCTTACCATCCTCCCCATGATTCCAGTTCCCACAGTCTCAATTTCCACCTCGGAGATGTTCAGAGCAAGGTCTGCTTTCACATACAACAGAAGCATGATTCCCACGAGCCGCACAAGTTTCACCTGAAAAACAGATCCTGTTCCATTAAATACTAGAATGGGAAAGGTTTGATGAGAGAAGGCGCGTCGCCCCCCAGTCCAAAGACAGGTCACCAAAACACAGATGAAGAAAAAGAGAGTTCCAGGGTCATCTGACAGACCAACTGGGCTCACAGAACCCAGGCACTCCTGCAGCTCAGCACAGGAAGGAGCCGGGGACCAACACCCCAGTAAACGAAGTTGAAGCCCAAAACAAAACCTATAGCCCAGGCAGAGCCCATAGAAAGAGCTTCCCTCAACAACAGTGACAAGAGACAAAGCAGACGTAAGTAGCAGGAGCCACAATATAAGCAGCATTCCTACCAAGATACCTTCACAGCTCATTCCACCATGCACTGCGGAGACAGACATGGAAGAAACTAAGATACTTCCTATCCTCTTCCCCCAAAACAGGAGGAGCTTCCTTTATGGGTGGATGCCCAGCTCTGGTCTCCTGTCCTGCCCCCTGCATAGCAACTCTACCTACTCCACCTCCAGAGCACTTCTGACTGAGCAAAAGCCTGCAGCGATGAGCCTCTGGAAGACACAGCAACTGAGAATAAGAAAAAGCAAAGGGAAAAGAGGCCCAAGTGGAAAATGATTCCACACTCAAACCTCCCCAAAAGCCACATTTACCTTTGCATATTTGGCATCTGGGTGAAGACTATCAGTTACAGCTTTAAACCACTCTTCTTCCTTCGGTGTGTCATTGAAAAAGAAGGCTTCTTTACTCAGATCAAGCTCCTGGAAACTGTGTTAGAGGAAGGAACCCATGGATGCATGCACTTGTTTATAGCTCTCCAGCCCTTTCCTCTGGGGAAGAACTAAATCAATTTATACTCGCTAAACTTATAGCTGAAAACTCAAGTCCAGTTATGCTGAATTTAGAGGCACATTAAACGTAAAGCTAGATTACTATCAGTATTAAATTGAATGGCATTAACTTTGTAACACTGCAGTGCCAGAGAGTCCAAACGCTACCAGAGTGACAGCCCTTTCGTGGGCTGCGCAAACACCCGCTCTAACGCTGTGCGGCGGAGTACGGCAATGACATTCCTCAGCTGTGGCGCCTTGGCTGAACACCTCTGTGCTACAGATTCACAGGCAAAGCAACCCACGGTCAAGGTTTGGGAGGATGGGCCAGAAAGAGACACTCACCCCACGCAGTAAATGTCCGGAGGCTCAGTATCACACCTCAGCCAAGGCTGGAGGCTTTCTCGGGGTGACTGACCGTTCACATTGTACGTCCCAACAAAAAATCTGCAAAGAAATTAACTAAATCCCAGAGCTGCAAACTGTAGAACTGATGGAAATACCACTATTGTTAACCCACGTACTTAACACCACATATAACTATTTAGGAGTAACCTGTTTCCAGGGGTGGAATTAGGCAGATCTTTCCTATTTGCAGGGATACGAGACGAAACAGCGAACACGAGTTATTTTGACAGTTTATGCTAACTAACTGTGGTGGTGAATCCACCCCCGCCGCTCCTTCCTGCTGCACTGCTTTACGATTTCAGAAACTCCCATCGGATCTTGGCCTTGGTGGAAGGAGTCGGGACAATCAGGCGGCGCTGCCTGTACCAGAAACTCCTACGGGGCTGAGGCAGGGCGCGAGGACGGGAACAATCAGTTATCCCCCGAGAGCCTCGGAACACGCCGTATCTGCACTGCAGCCCAAGTGGCGCGGTACCATCGTTACTGGAAATCGAGTGGTTACCGACCCAGATTGTGGCCCGGACTGGAAATTTACTGACGACTAAAGACAATCATCTCACGACCCTATAAATCGGCATCCAAAGTTGGGTCCTTTGAGCTCTCCTGGACCACAGCGGGCTGCCACCAGCATCTCCCTCGGAGTGGGGCGCCTCTCAGAGCCAGCAAACTCTTAAAATTCGCTAAAATCAGAGGTCCATTGCCAAAGGCTGACAGTGGAGCCTGGGCTGAAACCCTTTGCTCCTTGAGGCTCAACCTTCGCCCGTTGAGAAACGCCAAGACCTTTGACATGAATATTTCACTGAACTCAAGGGGAACTTTTAACAGGTACACCTTCACGTATATATATATAAAAATATACACACGTCTCTGCGTATGCATGTGTGAATAGATTTAAGTAGTCTGTAGCTGCATGATTTAATTACAAAGTGAGTCTTTTACTGCTGCTATATATATATATTTATATCTTCCTTAGACATAAACTGTTGACCAAGTCTGAGACCAAGATTGGACCCAGCTGCACCCAGACTCCTCCCTGAGAAGGAGTTTAGAAAGCAAGGGGGTCTGTTCTGAACCTCGTGACTCAACGGGAGGGTCCTCCTCATCCCCTGCATCCACGATCTCTCTGGGTGTCATTCAGACTTGAGTTTAACTCGATTTTCCTTTGTGTACTTCTTCCATGTAGTGATAGAGAGACCCTTGCCATCTTCGGATCTTTAACTAAGTTGCTGGTTTGATTAATTCTTTCTAACCACTTTGTTAATCAACTGATGATTGAGTGGTATTAAAATATCAAAATCAAACCCTGCGATTTGCCTCAAGTAAATTATAAATTGCTACTAAATCAAACTCTAAAGTCACTCATTCACAACAAATTAACCAGCCTGCAGGATTCACATATTTGTTCGCGACGCTGACTTACTCCCCGCAACAATAAATTCTTCTCAGGAATTTTCATTACCTGAAGTTTTGGATGTGTGTGTACGATTCCTCCATTTGTACAAGCTGAGATTTAACAATAGTATCTCTTAGTCCAAACTTTGGTTCTGATAAGATTGAAGCCTTGTTTGAAACCATCATGTTGGAGGACCGCACCATTTCACTTGTCAGTTCAGGTTTGAGTTTGTTTTGCCTGCAAACAAAAGCAAAACTGCACGATGAAACCCAGGATATAGACCCACCCGAAGCAGAAGCAGCTCATTTCTGCCACTGAGGACTTGATTCGCACTTATCTGTTTCACTGAAGATAGACGATCAATATTTGGGATAGCAAACATGACTGAAACGAGCATTTCTTAGACCGGTTCAGATCCCTGGATAAAACCAGTTTAACTCACTGAACAAACAAACGGCTTTCACTGACCTGGTGCAGCCTGTTGGTTCAGAGCAGGCCTTACTCACCCCTGGATGCCGATACAAACCTGCACACATTTCCTGCCTGCTGGAGCAAGGAGATGCAAATCTCATCTCCTGCTGCCTCTGCTCAGCCCTTCTGACCTCAGCAGAACAAAAAAAAACTGTGTGTGTTTGAAAAACCTTCTGGTGGAAAACTCCCAGCTCTGCCTAGAAAGGAGGCAGCACAGAGCGGGCGGAGGCAGTTTTATTTAGTATCTCATGGCTCTGCAAACTCCATTTGCAACAGTAATAATGCCAGAGCTTGGCAGTTCCCACAGGCAAGCGGATGGTATAAATCTAAGGTCAACAACCTGCACACCAGTGCCAAGGACAGCAGACAGACGGACTTTGAAGGATATGCAGTAGGGTCCACAAAGTCCTGGGAACTGGAAAATGAAGCTGTAACATTCTAAGAGTGCATCTACAAGACACGGTGGCCCTACGCCAAAGCTCTCCGAATTCAAAATAAACAACACTAGTGGGTCCTGTTCCACAACAGCAAAAACATGCCCAAAGAGGGGACTAGCAGGACTGCCTCCCAAGACTGTGCTGCGCTTCCCACCCAAGTTTTGACAGCGTGCTTGTGCTGAACTTTTTTCTCTCCTAACTAGAATCTGCAGATTCTCTTCTCAAAAAGTTGCCAACTTCTGCTCTAGATCCCACCACCTCTGGGGACTGCAACCGACACAGCCGTCAGCAGATGGAACTAGATAATGCAGCCGCAAGATTGCTCGAGCACTGGTGTGCGCACAGACCTCACACGCTCGCACCAGAGGCCAACTTCCCCCCAGAGAGACAGCTCTCTGCACCTTCTTTTTCTTCCTCTAGGCATCAAAGCATCAACAATTTGCCCACTGCAGTTCATTCCATCCATATGCCATCGCCCAGAAGTACCAAGAACTTTTTTGCTTTTACTATACAGAAATCCTCTGTGGAGGGGAGGCACAGCTAAACCGGCAAAGAAACACCGCCACCACGTTTACTCCTCCACAGAGCTGACACGCACAGCCCCTCCTTCAACTGCCTCACCAAACCTAGACAAGGAGCAAGGGAGACACCATACCTGGGAGCGCCTTTATCGGTGCTGTCGTGGCTCCGGCTCTGACTAACTGCAAGCTTCTTTCCATTCTGTTTGACACCTTCAGAGCCAACCACTTCTGGGAAAAAACAGAAAGTTTCACATTAAACACAAAGTGCTCTTATGCAAACACTGGCAAAAATTTGTAAGCAGAATATAATTTAGATCTGTGGGGGGAGGGGAACAAAGTGCCCCGCCATCTCTCTCTTTCAGTTATCTGATTGATTTCGCTGATTTTGGCAGAACTGCTCTGTGGCGACGCAGCCTCCCCTCGAGAGGAAGAGCTGACAGGAGCACGCCGTGCGGCCACGGAGAGGCGCAGAAACGCTGTACG